TGTTGATCCACTTCCACATGTTTTGTTCGGTCATGTTGAATCGGGTTATGAGATATGGCGATAGCAGCTTTGTTGTCACAGTAGAGATCCATCTCAGAAAGAGGAGCAAAACTGAGTTCAGTGAGTAGTTTCTTGACCCAGAGGAGTTCACAAAGCCCTTTTGCCATTTCTCGTAACTCTGTTTCAGCACTCAACAATGATACCACCTTTCATTTTTTACTTCTCCATTTAACTAGATTTCCACCTACAAACATGAAGTAGCCTGAGGTAGACCTTCTATCTGAAATGTTTCCAGCCCAATCTACATCTGTATGGCCATCAACCTTCAAGTGATCATTCTTTGAGAACATTAGTCCCCTTCCTGGTGAGGACTTTAGATATCGGAGTATTCAAATCATAGCATCCATGTGGTCTTTGCTGGGGTTATGCATAAACTGACTAACCACACTTATAACATAGGTGATGTCTGGACAGGTATGTAACATGTATACAAGTTTGCCAACTAACTTTTGATATCTTCCTTTATCTGTTGGCTCTCGATTTGAAAACTCACTCAATCGATAGTTCTGGATGATTGGGGTATCTGCTCGCTTACATTCCAATATCCCCACTTCAGCTAGTAAGTCTAGCACATACTTTCTTTGGGATAGGAATATGCCTTGCCTTGATCTTGCCACTTCAATTCCCAAGAAATACTTAAGACCTCCCAAGTTCTTCATCTCGAACTCAGATGCCAGCTGTTTCTGAATTCTGGATATCTCTTCTTTATCGTTCCCCGTGATAATCATGTCATCCACATAAACTATCACTGTAGTTATCTTCCCTATGTAATGTTTCAGAAAGAGTGTATAGTCTGAGTCACTTTGTTTAAATCCATATTTTTTCATTACCGCACTAAATCGTCTAAACCATGCTCGTGGTGACTGCTTCAGGCCATATAGTGCTCGCCGCAATTTACACACAACATTATGTGAAGGCCCTGTATATCTCGAAGAGAGATTCATAGATACTTCTTCTTCGAGATTACCATGGAGAAATGCATTCTTCACATCAAGTTGTTGTAGTGGCCAGTCAAGGTTAGCCGCAAGGGATAATAGTATCCTAACAGTGTTCAATTTGGTGACTGGTGAAAATGTCTCCTGGTATTCTACCCCATACGCCTGTGTGTAGCTTTTTCGACTAGTCTCGCTTTGTACCGTTCAATAGATTCGTCTGCCTAATGTTTGATGGAAAACAACCATCTACACCCTACTATCTTCTTTCTTTCACGTAGTGGAACCAATGCCTCCATCTCATCCTTTATGGCTTGAGTCCATTTGGAGTCTAATAGGGCTTCCTGAATTCCCGTCAGAACATGATTAGAGGAGAAAGTATGTACAAAAGCTCTCAATGGTTCAGATAACTTCATGGTGGATACATAGTTGGCAATTGGATACCTTGACCTTCATTCTTCAATGTTTGGAGAATATTTGTTTGGCAGTTTGCCTCGATTTTGCCTGTAAGGTAAAGTGTAGCCACCAGGAGTATCTAAATTGTTTAGGTGTGAAGAAGTGCTTACCTCAGAGATATTCTCAGGAGATAGGTCAACGGATACTAGAGAAGGGGGTTCTTGTTCTGGTTCAGTATCTATAGTTGGTTCAATGTTTTCAGCCGTATTTGTTTTCGTCGAAGTAGTCTCTATATCAAAATTATTTGACCACTCAAACTTCAACCAATTTAACTCTTTATCCCTTGTCCCCCCTCCCCCCGAAGAGGAGAATTGGGTGTCGAAGGAAAAATGTGTCAGACTCTGAGAAGGTAACGTCCATAGTCACATAGGTATGTCTAGAAGATGGATTAAAGCATCGGTAGCCCTTCTGATGTGTTGCATATCCCACGAAGAGGCATCGGATAGCACATGGGTCAAGCTTCCTCCATTGACTTTTGTGAAGATGAAAATAGGCCACACAACCAAATACTCTAGGAGGTAGCATGAGGGCTGTAGGTAGAGTAACATGGGATGATAGAGCCTAAAGTGGAGTCTTAAAATTCAAAACCTTAGAGGGCATCCGATTGAGTAAGTATACGGCTGTGGACACTGCATCAGGCCAGTAGTAGTTAGGAACATAGGCTTCATGAAGGAGAGCTTATGTAGTTTCAAGAATGGGTCGATTTGTTGAGGAGTCTGAGGGCAAGAAGTCTCGTGAATGGGATCGTGCTGTTCAAAGTAGGCACGAAAACGTTGGTTAATGAATTCACCACCATTATTAGAGTAAAGAACTTTGAGTTTAGCAGAGAACTGAGTCGGATCATGGCATGGAATGACTGAAATACTTTGAACACATTGTCTTTATTCCTTAATAAATAGAGTTAAGTTATGTGAGTACAGTCATCAATAAAGATAACAAACCAATGAACCCCATATATTGTAGTAACGAGTGAAGGACCCCATAGATCCGAGTGTACTAAGGAAAAATGAACACTGCTTTTATTCATGCTTGACAAATAAGAAGTACGTTGACTTTTTGCTAAAGTGCATGTATTACATTTAAACTCAGAAACTTCCTTATTCAAAAAAAGACTTGGTAACAAGTGTCTTAAATAACCGAATGATGGATGTCCAAGACAACGATGCCACAGCCAAACCTGTCATTCCTTCCCATTGCTCTGAACATGATGAGTATGACCTACACTGAAATCCTCCATGTAATATAACCCCCCTCTCTTAGTACCACGCCCAAGTATCTCCTTGGTGAGAATATCCTGAATAAAACAAAAGTTTGGATACATCAGTACTGAACAGTTTAATTCAATAGTCATTTGACTTACAGATAATAATTTATGTGAAAGTGATGGAACAAGTAAAGTATGAGATAAATGTAGGGAATGAGACAGAGATACAGAGCCAGCTTCGGTGACTGAGGAAATAACTTTGTTAGCATTTGCAATACTGGTGCGTCGGGGCAAGGACATCTGAGTAAAATATCTTTCATCGTATGTCATATGGTCAGTTGCCCCGAAGTCAAGTAGCCAAAAATTATTATTCCTGGCACTAGATGATGTAACAAAAACTGAACCAAGATCACCTAGTTCTGATGCGGGATCCGTATCTTGAAAAGATCCATTTTGAGAGAAGAGTTAGCTATTACCATAGCTACCTTGCCCGTTCGCCTATCAGTACCGGCCCCATTTTTGTTCTTTTTTTCGTGCAACTCATGCCACCAATTAGGGTACCCATTGAGTTTAAAACAATATTCCCGTGTATGTTTACTATTTCCACAGTAGGAACATTTCATTTCTTCATCCACTCCCTTTGACTTTTTTGACCCACTTCTATTTGGACCTCCTTTTAAAGAATTCACTCTAGCAGTCGACCCAAGCCTCAGTCCTTTGCTAGCCAGAATTGCTCCGGGAGGTTCGTCGGAATCTTTAGATGCCATGACCGCCTGTTGTAGCACCTCTCGATGAACGTATGCATAAGCCTGCTCGACGGTAGGGAATGGCTCCATCTATAAAACTCTACTCTGTATGCTTTCAAGCCAGTCGTTCGAGCCCATCAAGAAATGTATAAACTCGATCTTCTTGGGTCAAATTGTTGAATTAGTTTATGTCAGCAGCGCATTTCATCGGGTTTGGGTGACGAAAGTCAATTTCATGCTACAACCCTTACAGTTCAGTGTAGTATTTCTCCACAGATCTTCCTGCTTGTCTCAGTCGTGTCACCCTTCTTCGAAGATCATAGACTTGGGATTTATCATTCCCATCAAAATAAGTAGTGGCAATTGCATCCCAGACTTCTCTTGCAGTGGAAAAACGAATAAAATTGCCAATGAGTCCAAGTTCAAGTGAATTAATAATCCATCCCTTGATAATGGCATTCTGGCATTCTCTGTTTGTCACTTTCTAAAGGATGGGTTGGTCGGCAGAGGTGGAGGAGTATCTCCAGTAAGGTAACCCGATTTATCTTTCCTAGAAATGTACATTTCCATAATCTGGGACCACAAGCCATAGTTCGTGTCATTCAATTTTATGCCAATCTGAGGTGAGTTCTCAATGAGTGGAGGTGATATGTGTGTTTTGGTTAAGGTTTCAGAAATTTTGTGTGTGAGTTATGTAAGCGTGGCATCAGAATTGAGTAGGGATTAGCTGGAGTCATTGATAATATTGGGGCCCTCCATGTGTTTGTGAAAATGTTCACAAGAGCAGAGTCACAAGAAATTTGTCGAGGAAGACCATGGATCTTGTGCCTTGCTCTGATACCATGTCACAATTACATAAAGAAGTTAACTTTTTCTGTCATATATTTCCAATAGGTAGAATACAATTTATATAATTATATAGGAGAGTGAATACTCCTATTTTTGGATAATACAAAATCTTTGCTAATTGATTGATTCTACAATTAAAGTGCTTAATTCTATTCCTTGATATGATGATTCTATTTCCTAAAATTAGCTTTAAGAACTCACACCAACACTTTTTTGAGTTCGTCGCTATTTTATTTGAGTTACTTTTTTTTGTCACTTTTTTTAATGGCTTATTTGATTTTCATTATTTGTCAAAAATACATTTTGCAATAATGATTTGATGGAGAATGTGTGGTTAAAAAATAAGAAAAAGTTTTGAATTTGCATGTAATATTTTTTATTGAAGAACATGGTTGAAAATAAGAGAAAAAATGCATTTTGAAAATAATGGAAAATAAACGGGGGCTAAATTTCTGTTACTTTTTGAATTTTTATCACTTTTTTAGTATTTGTTAATTTGTTTTCTATTACTTTCTTGAAATTTCTATCTATTTTTCGAATGAAAACAGCGCTTTTTAATAAGAGTAATATTATATGTCATTTTTTAATAAAAAATGTGAAAGTTATTTTTAAATATTAAAATGTGACACAATGGTTTACACCATATTTTTTATTTTCAAAATACTTTACATATGATTTTTCAAATGTCTCCAATTTTTTGAGGATATATTTATAAGTTGCAAGTCATTTGTTACCGGTTTCGTTTACCCAACGATTCGTTTACCCAACTAATTCAGCAACCATGGCGCTATCACACGTACAGTTCAAAAGAAGCTACGCAAATCCGCTCAAAAGCACATGTGGGCTTCACTCAGTAGCAGTGGATTGAGAATTCTGCGCTGCCGCGTTGTTTATCTGCCAAACCCGCTTCCGATTAGCCCTCTTCCTCTGGTACGTTCCGGGTTTCGAATCCGAATTTTGATGGACAGTTTCAAAAAAAATGCTTCTTTCACTGCTTCCTCTGGTTCCAGCAGAAGGTATGTTTTGTGTGTTTTCCCTCGAAATTGTTTGTTTTCATATCAAAGATTATAATTTTATTTTCTGAACTCTTTTACTAATTTTTGGATATAATTTGTGGTGGGTTGGATGAAGAGGGCTGGAGAAGAATGATAATCGGGAAAGATTAAGAGGCCGTGGCGGTGGCTCTTGCAAAGATAAGATTGATGCTCTTGGCAGACTGCTGTATGCAATTAGTATTGCTCTTTATTTATGTGATTTTTTTTTTAATTATTTTTGGATCAGTTAGTATTTAATTGTCGTATAAGGAACAAAAAAAGGAATGAAGATGAAGAAGATTATCCAATTTACACCAGTATAATCAATAATTTTGGAATTTTTTTATGGGTTTAAAGCAGGAATGGCCGCGGAAAAGTTTAATCCAAATGGCTTCTAATTAAAGTGTGATATCTTGAACTAATATGATTACAGAAAACATGGCATTCTGAAAGGTTTTTACGACATTGCATTACTTATGCTTTTGATGTTATGCTGAAAACTAGTTTATAAAAGAGATAATTTTCTTAATATTTATTTGAATCCTTCTTGTAGACCATAATTTATTGTTTTTACAGCTATTATTATTTCTTTTAAGAAAAAAAGAAGTCCCAGAGAAGGTGATTAGTATTTTCCAGATATCATAGCGTTCCATTGGGTTCTAATCTTTTTATTATTATTATTATTTTTAATAATTTAGGGTTAACTGGATATGAAACGAATACTAAAATCTTGCACAGTTAAATGTAGTTGAGGCATCTCTCCAATTATTATTTACTTACGTTAGCTATTTGTTGTCAATAATTTCAGAACGCGTATACTGCGACACATGGCTTCTGAGCTGAAATTGGACATGAGGAGTGATGGATATGTCAAGGTCCAAGACCTGCTAAAGCTAAAACTGAAAACCTTTGCCAATATTCCACTACACATGCATACAGTTGATGATGTTAGAGAGGTTTGTTCTTTTATCTCTGTATATAAATCTAATGTGAAGAATTCATATCAAGTACCATATGGTAATGTACGTTTATGTTCCGTTGACTACTTTTAGTTGGTAAATTTCTTCAAGTGTTCTTTCTAAGATTTTGGAAGTTGCCGATCAAAGATAGATCAGTGGTCATCCTTTTATTTTTACCCTTTGAGTCTCTATTCAGGGATAGCCCTGTCATTTGAATTTTGAAGCCATCTGCAATTCCTCGTTTGTACTCTTGGAAATTATTTTTCAGAGGTTACATCTTGAGGCATGTCTCATGTGAGATGTTCATTAGACAACTCAAAGCTTACGAATTGAGTGCTATTTTCAAGGCGTATGCCTCATGGCAGCTTAGGGCCTGAGGCATGCGCTTATTGTTTTGAAGTATCTGGTTTTCTATTATTAGCCTTAGCATTTTGGACTGTGTCTTAGTTTAGAGTGTTGTACTATTTATTTATTTATTTATTATTATTTTTTTAACGTTGGAAGTTTACCTGGCATGGTCATGTCTTTATTACTAATAATTAATAATGGTGTTGTGTAGGATCATCTTCATTTGTTGGAGGAAAGTCGAATTTTGTCTAATCATCTTCATGTGGGGGTTTTGCTTACTACCCTAATAATTCTGAGCCTTCTGGGTCAGGGTGGAGCAGAAGAATCATTTTATCAGCAATACATGACTAGAACCCATTAGGTTTTGTAAGATGACTCGGTTGTTTTTAACAAAACTTGGCAGGGTCTTTAAATAAGTTCATGTTAAGCTGGTCAAATGTTGTTATAGATTAATACTTGCTTGTGAGGTGTTCAATAATACTTTGGCCTTCAAAGTTTGTGTTCCTTTCTGTGCTGTTCCCCTTTCTGATGCCCTGCTAACTATCATGGAGCATCACAACATAGAAATGTGCTTCTCAATGTATAGATGTTAATATAATAATAATTTTCAGTCAAATACGCGTTTTTTTTTTTCATATGACTTGCTATTTCTGTTTTTCATATATAAATTTTTGTCTAACAACAATCTTTCTCCTTAATTTAATATCTAACAGGCTGTCAAAAAGGATAATAAACAAAGGTTTAGCCTATTGGAAGAAAATGGGGAGCTTCTCATACGTGCAAATCAAGGCCACACCATAGCGGTAATGGATTGTCCAAAAATTGCAACTAGGACTGGGCTGTAGTAGTTCAAATAAAATTGATAACTGAAAGTAGCCCATCATTTCTGTTATATTAAACGTTATTTCTCCCTTTCTCATTTCTATGTTGAAGGAATGAAGTTTATTGGGATTTAGTTTGATGAAGTTGGGATATGAGATTCTTTAATGAATTTTAGTGGTATACTACTAAAGTTTTAATTCTCAGAATTGGTGAAAGTTGAAACGTTCAGTGGAACTTTAATTCTGAAAATCTTAGATAGGTGGTGGTAATTTCTATTAGAAGTGTGTAATGCTGCAATTTTTATAGTTCATCATCTTGCTATAATCTTTTTATATACTTGTATAAGTTTATCAGTGTCCAAAAGCTGCTGATTTTGATTGAACCCTGAAAAATGTATTAGTAATGGGTAGTGAAGACACTATTATTTAAAATTATATGATGATCGATTAGATAGAAAATGTTATTTAAATGTGAACTCTTTTATGTTAATATCAATTTCTTAGGTCACAGGAAAGAAGCATTGATTCATAGATTTGAGATATTGAGTTCAGAAATATAATCTATAAAATTTTAGAAAAATTGAATAGTTGAATTGAATTGATTAGGATACGACTTCAACCTTTTATGTCTGATGAGGACGATGAATCAATTTGTTTTCCTTTTTGGGTTGTATTATTTGCATGTTTCAAGCGCCAATTTATGTTGAACTTGTAATATTTCTTAGCATTCTATCATGCAGTTTTGTATTGAGATGTTAAGATTTCCTCTTTCAATGTATTTTTGCTTTGAATTTCTTTTCAAAGTTAATTGTTCATCTTTATTTGGTTGCACCATTTGATTATTTTTGTGTCCCATTTTCATTCTCTTTTCTAAATTTATTTGGTAGACAGACAGTTGAAACGGAGAGCTTGTTGAAACCTATACTTTCACCTGAAGAAGTACTAGGTGAGATGTTACTTTGGATTGTCATCTATTTCTCTTCTTGAAGAGATCAAGTTAACTGTTCTACTTCTAAGAGTTTCCACCCATATCGATATTGTGCAGTGTGTGTACATGGGACCTACAAGAAGAACTTGGAATCAATTTTAGAACATGGTCTCAAATGCATGAAGAGATTACATGTACATTTCTCTTGTGGCTTGCCAACAGATGGTGAAGTTATTAGTGGTGAGATATTTGATGTTAGTTTTGTTGTGTGCTCTGTTTTATCATGCAGTTGCTTTGTGAGCAAATTTACTTTCCGCATTCTTTATGTGCCCGCTTGTCGCTTGATTACGATTACCGAGCAAAGAAACAAGCAAATGGTTCTTGAGCACATATACAGGGCATGACTCACCATATTGGTTTGGTATATTTGTTGCATGTTTGGTATGCATGACTGTATAGCTTAAGGAACAAGATTCTCGATTGTGTTTCATCATAGTATTGTCTAGTGTTCTCCAATCCTACTTACCAAACATGCCATTAATGTTTTACTTTTCAGTCTATTAGCAATGATACAATTATGTGCATCGATGCTTAAAATTGAAGTAACCTTTCTTCCTTGAAGTATAACGTGAGATAGCTGGCTTTCTTCCTTTTTTAGCCCTGGGATATAGTATAGACCTTAAAATTTTGGGGAGCTCTGTTTGTATGTAAAATAACCTGCTTCTTGCAGAAGATTATTGATAAAGATTGTCAATTGAACCCTAAAGTAAAAGGCTTCTATCTTGAAATTTTTGGTAAGATATCATCCAGACTTACATGTGCAACGTTGTATGCATTAAAAAGTGTCACACTTCGGTGGCTTAGTCATGTTCCCATTATGTTTTCTTTTTCTTCAGATAAAACGGGAAATTTGTATTTGTTACAGATTTTCTTCGTATTTAGATTTATTGGGAAGAAGGCTTAATTTTTTGTTTGTTTTCGACTTATTTAAATAGGTCATTGCATTGGTGGTTTGATGATATGTGTGACGTGATTTTTCAGGGATGAGACGAGATGTCAATTTGTTGATCTTTCTTGATGTAAGAAAAGCTATGGAAGGTACATTATATGAACATTGTGATAGTTCTTGTTTAATGTACACCACATTTTTGCTTTTATAATATTGTTTCTAAATTCATCATCTTTTATTCCAGATGGAATGAAACTTTACATTTCCGATAACAAGGTGATCTTGACTGAGGGTTTCAATGGAGTGGTTCCTGTGAAGTATTTCCGGAAGGTAGAATTGTGGCCAAAGAGAGAGCTTATACCATTTCAGACGGGCAAGTAGAATTTATCTTCTCTTTGAATATATCTATGGCCATTTGCATCTTTTAAGGTGGGATTTCTGTATCTTTACCAAACATCAGCATAGCTTGATAGGTGTCATGGAATGGGACGGATTTTATGTTGTATCTACATGGATCATCTTCTTGAATAGTGTTATTCATCAAATTGTAAATGACTAAGTTGGAATGTAACTTGACTATGAGAATAATTTTGTCCCTTTGAAGCTTTCGACTCCGAAAGTGTTAATACATGTTTTGACGAAGGTATTGAAAACTAAGGGCCGGCCAGTCGGTAGGGATGTCAAACGGGTCAAGCGGCTTATCGGCTCGATCGCTTGGCTCGTCAAAACCCGGCTCATGGGCGGATTGGACAAGCCTGAGCCTGAGCTGAGCAAGGGCTCAATCCCAGGCTCGGCTCGTCGAACCCACGAGCCATTTTGACGAGCCCACGAGCTCTCGTAAAAAAATATTAATTTATTTTTTTAAAAAAATGTTCAAAATGTGCAAATTTACCAAAAAAATTAAAATATTCAGGAGCTCGTGGGCCGAGCCGAGCTCGAGCTCGGCTCGTCTTCCACAAGCTCGGCTGATCACGAGCCCGAGCCGAGCTCGTGGGTTAAAGGACCGAGTCGAGCCATCACTACCAGTCGGGCTAAGGTGGGATGATAATGCCTTTTAGCTCCTCATTGTAAATTTGTTACGACTTCAACGATAGTTATGAGTCATTTAAGTTACTCTGCCAAATATCTCTAGGAGATTGTTTCTTATGCCAATGAATTTGACAAATAATCTTTAGCCTCAATTTCAGTTGATATAACCATAAACGTATATTAAAACGTTCATCATGGTGTGTTTGAATTGTATGTGGGGATGTGATTTTAAGAGGTTTAATAGGTCTTGATTGTTAGATTAACTTAAATGTGTTGATTATTTGTCAAATTTATTTGTAGGAGGAATAGTTCTCATATCTCTATTGTGCATCATATGGTAGAAAATATAGAGTTTTGTACGATATTCCACACTTGTCTCGTGAATAATTATGTGTCAAGATGTGAGGGACTTCTTCGTCATAGGCTGTGTCGTGTCCCTAACTGCCTCCAATCAGGCCGATATAGGGGTAAATATAGCCTCGCATTAATCTTAGTGATTTTTATTTTATTTTATTTTATTTTATTTTTTTCTCTTTTTACGTCAAGCTTAAATTAGATTGATGTACATTATGTGAATAAATATTGTATTTTTTGGCTTCATGAAACTGATGAACAGTCATCTAGTGTTGATATGATTTATGGTTTCAATATTAGTTTATAGAAATTCAAGATTTACTGTTTTAGTTCTTTTAACGTAATAAATTAGTCGTTTATATTATTAATATTAAAGAATTAATTATTTTAAACGGTGGAAATTACATTCTCATACAACATTGAGAAGTCTTAAGGATTTCCTAATTTTAACAGCAACATCGCAGTCTAATTTTAATGCAAATAAATAGGATAATGGATAAACGAATTGCAAAATTTTAGGTAAAAACATTTTTTAATTGTCTTGTACACTTAAATTGGCAAGTAAATTTCATTTTATGATTTTGTTTTTAATTTTTTTAAAGAAAATGTATCACTCATTAGTAAAATGTCAATCTAATTTTAGCATTTTGCTGCTCGGGCCTATGACAGGGCTGAGGTGCTGGCCCCTATTTATGTAGCATGGCTCCTAATTTTAATGTATTAGAACTACCAAATATAAGGTTAAGATGAATCTAAACTTAGCGCTTGTTTGTTTTCAAATATGGGAGATATTATAAAGTTTTGAATAGTATTTTTTGGACAATGTGTGATTAAAATTTAAAGAAGCTTTATTGATTTGAATGTAGAGTATTTTATTGTGTGAATATATGATGAAAAATGTTTCCGGAGCAAGCATTGTTAAAAGGATGACAAACAAAGGCTTATATTCATTTACATATTAATGTAAAGTTTTTTCCATTTATTAATGTAAAACGCCTCTTTTTGCAGTCATTGAAATTATATTCTTGAATTTCAATTGTAGGCATATTTTATTAGAAAGCAAATAGATAAAAGAATTTTTAGAGAAAGTTGATACAATGTGACTTCTCTAAAAGTACTTTTGTAATAGAAAATTATTTTGAAAATTACTTTTCAAACAAAAATGAAAAAAATTCTTTCTGAAAGCACTTCTAGAAGAAATGTAGATCAAGACAACAGATGGTAAACCCTTTTACTGTTATACACCTCTTCTTTAATAGTGGATACACTGAATCGCCAACCTAAACAAGGTAAGACCATGTTTGGCACAGAGTACTGCACAGTACAACGAACAAGGGATTGCTTATTGTATAATTTAAATAGAAGAATTTGAGATCCATATTATACAATTTAAATAGAAGAATTCTTCATAAACTAAAACCACCACCAATCGAAACTACATGTCCGGAAAAGGGGAGGGTGGAGAAAGGGGAGGGTGGAGAAACTACCCCCAGGGCACATCTCCAAGTGGTAAAAGGGAAGGGTGGAGAAATCCAGCTTTGCTTGAAGCTGCTGCGTCAAGAGTTCGAATCCTGAAATATGGATTTGGCTCTTGGATAAGTGCAAGTGTACAAACAGCCTTCCACCCTGTACCCTTGGAGGCATAACCTGCGATTTACCTCCTTCACGATGCTCCAGACAGGGGTGGTGGGGGACCCTTAAGGTTAGGGTTTAACCTTTTTACATGTCCGGAAAAATAAGGATAATAAAAATGGCTTTAAAGAGGTCAAAATGGAAATACCAGAAAGAACTTTATAGTCGAAAGTAGAGATGGTCAAGCACAATCAAATCACGCTGCACCTTAACGGTCGATATACAAAAATTATCAAAAAAATCACTCCTAAAGAAGCTAAGATAAGTATATGAAAATCATCACAGAAATCACTTAAGAAGGAAGGATCCTTTCACCAGAAGATTATATCAGTTCACATTGATTACATACAACCTCATTCTGCAAACTATCTCCCTTTCCACAGCACATGGGAAGAGCATTCTTACTAATTAAGGAGTTCCAGTTACAGTAAGAGAGTAGCATCAAAGGCTGTATTTGCTGTATTGGTAAAGGACAGAGCAAGAAGTAGTTTCATTTACGAGACAGGTGCTGGTGACTTATAGGCACACTCAACTTCTTTATGAAACTGTTCTTAAAAGGGAGGACAGTATATATTTTCCATCTGCAACTAATCCCTTTAAATTTTTTCCCATTTACCTCAACAATGAACTATGTTGCATAGGCACTTCAACTTCAGTAACGTGTCCGTGTCTAACACGTATTGAATATCAACACTTCTCTGATACTCTACCATGGTCATTTTTCATTTTTTATTTGAAATATTATATATTTTTAACTCAAAGTTATTATTAAATAACATATAAATACTTTTATTTAAAAGTTTTTAACAAGAAAAATTAATAATGAGTATAAAACTAAAAACTTATACAGTATAAATAAAGAACTTTAAAGATTTTAATTAACATGTCAACAGCCTGTCATTCAATATTCTTTGAAATATCACATGTCGACATATCTAACATGTGCTGTATCGGGCACACGTATCATTGACGGTTCATCATAGACAATGAACAACTTATTAGATTGTATCTTCATAAGCTCTGAGGATAGGCTTCAAAATTAAATTTGATTAACATGCAAGGGATCCCATACTTATCCAGCCTATTTAAGATTGATACTAGTTAATGTTAAGTAAACTATTAGTATAGCATAATCAGGTTCACCAATGATTTTCCTTTACTGTCATTAATGGTGTACAGCCCATTCGTTCCTAAGGGCATAGATTCACGTAGCTAACATTCAAATTTATTGAGAACACTGATGTTTTAAATAGGTTCAGTCAGGTAATAAAGCATTTTATATATGCAAGTTGGGGCATAAGGATCAAGAGACAACCTAGTAAAATAACTCAATGAAATATAAGAATACAAAGCAAACTCGTAATAAACTAAATACTATTTGGAAAATCCACAATAAAACAAACTCGACATATCTGATTTCTCTTCCTCCTCTTCATGACTTTGGTTTCTTCTTTTTCTTTTTGGTGATGCTCTAATTGTAATCATGCTTTCTCCATCTCCTTCCGTGTGAAGGCATAAAGAACGAGAAAACAAAACGAATGTAGAAAGTCCTAGGCTATAAAAATAGCCCAAAAAGCTTAAGTCAATATTGAAATCCCTATAAAAGACAATACAAACGAGCGCACACCTTAGCCACCCTTAGGCTCAGCAGAAAAGGCAGGCAAAAAAATCTCTATAACGTTCTAATCTATTAAAATCGCCCAAAAGGCGATACCAATAATGAGAAATCCAGAAAACGCAAGATAAATAAGGACAAACCATAACCATCCTGAGCTAAATCCTGAGGCACACTCTATAAATCGAAGCATAAGCCTCGCTAAATCGATGCGTAATCCTTGGAAATTCCACAAGGTGAACACTTCAAGGCATTTTAATGAGAGTGTCGTCACGTAAGATGCATTGCGCACCTCGAAGCCTCAGAAAGCTTTTTAAACAAGGGATAATATAGCTTAATTTGTTGTTGTTCCTAATAAATCATTCCCTTGACAAATGATAAGACAGACCAAAAGTATGTGACTTATCAAGACATCCTTGAAGTGCTGGCCTTTAACCACAGTTCTACATTGGATTGTGCTAAAGAAGTTCTCAAAAGTTCCCTCATAAATTATGATAGCTTTTATACCACATAATCCTATATATGCAAACATCTATATGAATGGAAGGAAAGAGATTCTATAAAATGCTGTATATTGAAGAGAAAATTTAGACTTATTACCTAAACCAGCAATTCCAGGCTTCCAAGCATGGGCAGCTACTATGTGGATCCAAAAACCGGGAACGCAATTCCTGAACATAACCATATGTACTAACATGGAGCTCCTTAAGTTAGAGACCAACGCGATAAACTCCTAGTAAGTCGGTGAAACAGTGTAAAGAAGCAAACTAATAATATTTCATGATGAATAAGCCTATAAAAGTAGATAGTCCAATACATCAGCTTTTGCCAAAGCAGTAATTAAGTAAAAATTTGAGTCACGAGTCATTTAATGTTTCACATAAAGTATGTTATAGACAAATTATCGATTACTTATTTATTTGGATATCATAAAGATGATACAAGTCCAACAATCAGCATATTGCTTTATCAGACAATTTCTACAGTGGTAAAACTACAACAATTCCCATGAACCACCAAAGTTTGTCGTGTCTTTTGATACAGACCAGAATGTCCAAGCAAGAAATGCCCACAACCATAAAAGCTTCTTCTTCATGGGCTTCGTAATTTCCTCCGTATATGAAATCATTGAAATATATGGAAACAAGATAATGGAGGTGACGGATAGATTAAAACCAATCATAAGAATCAAAATAAACAAGAATGAAATGATTCTACCACAACTGAAAAAATATTGTATTACTGTGCACTCTTCTTCCCATTACCATAGTAACTGAGATACCATTGAACGAATTTCTTCAATCCTGTCTTGAGATCAGTCGTCGGCTTATATCCAAGCTCCCTCTGAGCCAAGCTTATGTTGGCGTGTGTGAATTGCACATCCCCATTCCTTGGCAACTTCATAATCATCCTCTTGGCCTTCACCTTGAGTAGCCTCTCCAAAATGCTCACAAGATCTGAAACAGGTACAGGAGATGTGTTTCCCAAATTGTACACACGTAATTGTGCTGGCCCCTTCTTCTTGCCACCACTACCGGTACTCTTTTCAGCGGTGTCCAGTGCCCCCAAACAACCCTTCACAATATCATCAATGTAAGTGAAATCCCTCGCAACTGTACCATGATTAGCAGCCTCAAAGATCTGAATTGACTTCCCCTTCAAAATATCTCTACTAAAAAAGAAATATGCCATGTCTGGCCTACCCCAAGGTCCATAAACCGTGAAGAACCTCAATCCGGTAAGCGAAAGTCCATATATATGGTTATAAGTATGTGCAATCTCCTCACCAGCCTTCTTAGTTGCAGCATACAAACTAGCAGGCTGATCAGTCCGATCCTTCTCTGAAAAGGGCACTTTTGTATTCAATCCATAAACAGAACTGCTTGAAGCCCACACAATAGCAGGCTGAGGATTTGCGCTCTTGCAAACCTCAAGCAAACTAACCAGGCCAGCAATGTTGCTATGGACATAGGAGCTAGGATTTTCCATGGCATAGCGCACCCCAGCCTGTGCAGCCAAATGCATGACATGGGTAAATGGGACAATATCGAAAAGTTTCTTCAAGAGGGCAACATCATTGATATCACCCTCCACAATGTACACCCCAGTGCGCTCCAAGAGCGCCTGCCGAGCCCTCTTAAGGGACGGATCATAATAGTCGTTGAAATTATCAAGCCCAAGAACGCCATCCCCACGGCGCTTGAGGGCGGCAGAAACATGGGTGCCTACAAAACCAGCAGCCCCTGTAACCAAAACCAAAATCCCATTTCTTGACCTGATTTTAGCTGAGGTCCTGACCCTTTTCTCCCAGGCAGGACCACCGTAAAAGTTGGTTCTGAGGGACCTCCTATTGAGATCTGACGTGACAGGAGAGGAAGAAGATGGTGATCTATAAAAGAACACAAAGATCAAGCCAAGGAAAACAATAGACCAGAAGGTGAGCTTGGCTAGAGATGAATGCAACCTCAGCCTATTGTATGGGGATTTCTCCATCTTAAACTTACCTGGGATTGAAGGGGTGTTATCAATGTGCTTCATCTGTAACATTACACTCTAAAATCTTGAAGATTTGAAGAATACCCAGATGGGAAATCCCCTGTATTGTTGGCTAATCTAAAGATTTTCCAGAAATAACAGAACAAGTCTAGGGTTTGAAAAATGACACCAACAAAAGAAAAAAGTTTTATTCGCTAATAATTGTACGAAATAAGAAAAATGTAAGAAAAAAGGCAGGTGAAGGAGTCTTGGAGGTGGTGCTATGGAAGATTTTGATGCTTTATTGATAATAATCTTCTGGTTCTTGGAAGCACTGGTGGTTGGTCATGGTGGTGGGCTTTTTCCTTTTTCTTTCCTTTTTTTTTTAATTAAAAATTGATTTTCATAGTTTGATCATTTATTAGAAGTCGATTTATTTTAGAGAGAGAGAGAGAGAGAGATTTTAGGGTTGGATTAAAGTGAGTGGAGGGATAAGAATCAAGTTTGAAGAAATTTAAAAAATAATTAATGGAAGAGTAAGAGAAAGTGGACTCTTGGAGAATCATGAACATAGTCAAACAAGAACATGATTAATGAAAATATATTATGCCAAAAACATGATTAGTAAAATAAAAGGAGGGAAAATTAAGGTTAAGGTCGCAACCTATTGCAAATGAAGCAAATTGGTCCTTGACCTATTATTTTAGTGGCTGCATTCTCCAACCTCTTAAGTGTATAGCACTCGAGTTTTTAATGAATAATTTTATTCTTATCTTTGATTAAGAACTCAATTTTTATTATAGCACTCGAGCTTTTAAAGATTATCCTTATCTTGAATTTTGATTAAGAGCTTAATTTTTTTATTAAAAAGACGATATCATCTTCATCTTTAATTTATATATGTAAAAAAGAATAGATATAAAGAAAAATACAAAATCCACATACCCTTATCTTTTATTTTATCCATTTTCATTCTTCATTTATTCTTTCTTTAAAAGATATAAGAGTAAAATTTTGGTTTTAGCAAAATATTCACATATACCCATCTTGCTCATGACATAAGGAGCCATGCGTTACTCTGAAAAAAGGTAGCCCAAAAGCTCACGACTAGTATATATGTGTGTGTGTGCGCGCGCGCGCGCGCTTTAAAATGAGGAAAAAAAATCGCACTTTGCATCTATTAGTTTTTCAAGATTGATCTTAAAAAGAGAAAAGAAAAAAAGGTTTTAGTCCTTTTATTGGACTTGTTTGATGGAAACCACTATAAGATAGGAGATGTGTCAATGAAAAATTGAAGGTGAAAGTACGTCGAAAAAAGTTAGGAACACAATTGTTACAGTAAGTAAAAATTGATCTTGAGAACAATTAAAATATAATGTAACAATTAAAAACTGCAATGTGAATATAGTTTACCTATAACTAATTGCAACGGTAAATTGTCAAGGAGGCCTAAATTTTACAAAAATGAAAGATTGAAGACCAAGGAAACCAAAATCATTAGATTGGGGCCCTATAAATAATCTTTCCATTAATAAAATGATTTTTATTTTGTAGTTTATTTCCTTTCACAAGTGTATAAAGTCAAAATGAATTCAAAGGGGAAAAAATATAAATAAAAAGATTTTAATTTGATTGGTTGAAAAGGGTGTGAAATTTTGGCCCTTCATTTTCAAGTGGTTTATTTTAAACCAATAATTATTGTGTGGGAGTTGTTTAATTGGGAGGAGAGTGATTAAGGTTGGACTTTGAAATTAGGATTCGTTAGTTGGAGATCGTGTGAATGAGATTTTAGGATAATTATGAGTGTTCCCTAGTTCTTATGCCATTGGATGGTGTGAAAGATTTGTAGGGATTTGCAATTTTATTTTGAAGCAATCTAATTACAATCGTTAATTACAAGATCAAATGAGCTGGATCATAAAAATCCTAAGAATGCAATTAGTTCACCGAATACAAATAACGTTGGGCAATCTTGATAAATATTCTCGATTTTTGTTCATATTAAGTTCGATTAGAAGTGTCAAATGCACGAAAAATATTTTTCTTGTAATCTTCTTATGAAGGTCTAGCTTCTAAAGAATTCTACTTGAAAGATCAAGTTCACCTTTATATTTTCTAATTATCTCTCAAGTTTTTTCTTTAAGAAAAAGTGTACATACTTAAAATGATTGATCAACAAGAAGGAAAATAGAACTATTCTTTTAGTCACCCCCAAATACATGTCTTTTGCTAGCTCCTAGAGTCGATTTTGGGAAGGGGTACAAGGCATTTTCATTGCGAAGTGAGAGAGAGAGAGAGGACGATAGCAAGATCTTGGTCTAAAATGGATATGGGAGCGACTAAAGTGCTTGGATTTGAGCTTTTTAGTTTCATTTCAAAAACTCAACTACTTCGAGGGATAAAATCTCACACCAAAAGGAGAATTGGGAATTTCATTGATAGGAGATCAGAGTGTTTTTCCTTGGAAATGAAAAATTTGCCCATCGAGTTTTATCAACTTGCATCGAATAAGAATGAAAATATAGACCAACTCATAAAGCTTTGGATTGTTTCTCTTAATAAAATTGACATTTTAAAATGGAATTCCAAATCTTAACATGGTATCAAAATTTATTAAACTTAAACGAGTAATTCAACACAGGTAATACTCAAAAAAATAAGCACACAAATTTTAAGATTAGTATGCTCAAACAAGCTACCATCTTGTGGTACCATGTTAAGGGAAAGAATTCTATATCGAATAAAGATGAAAAAATATAGATCAACTTTAAGGGCTTGTGTTACTTCTCTTAATAATGTTGACCTTTTAAAATAGAATCTCAAATTTTAATACAGTTAACAAGTTATGATTTAGGCCGATCGCATTTAGTCTTTTACACACGAGGTATCAATCTTAAAACTCATCAAGGTCACTTCGGAATTTAGTTAGACATGATTGAGAATATTATCAATGAACTAAATTAGGTTCCATTGTATACCCTATTGCAGGGCACTCATGTATGTAATTGTAATTAGAGTACTTACAAATTGACTCGTATGGACTATTTTGGCGAAGTTGTTCACAAGATAACAAATGTTATCCTATTACTTCTAGTAGTTGGACTTGTTTTCTAGAATAATGATATTCGTAGTGAAAATTATCAACAATCGTCCTACGTGGCATATAAATGACGATTTGTTGTTTAATGCACAAAGCAATATGTATACTACGCAGGGTGAATGTCAGTAATCTTCAATATGAATAGTACTACTTTATTTTCTGTCACAATTTGGGAAATAGTCTTTATAATGATGAAGATCACTCTATATTTGGTAGAATTCTCGCACACGCTTTTGGTTTATCTTCCATGAACTAGAAATTATAAACTAAATGTAATTGAGAAAAAGAAAAAAATGCATATACAAAAAAAATTGTATAATTGCTTTTTGCCTTTGAATTACAAAGAGAAATGCCTTATCTTAAAGGCTATAAATGATTATAATCTTTTAACATAATAACACAATCTTTCCTTTATGTTTTCCTTTATCCTTATGATACTTTAAATTGATATTTTTTTGAGCCCCATCTTTAGAAAAGATAAATTTTGTAATAGTAGGTATTTTTTTTATTTTTTATTTTTTGAAGAATGTATGTTTAAAAAGTAGAAAAAAATAAAAATAATAAATAAATATATAAGGATAATTGGAACAAAACGCCCCTACATTTAAGGTTTATTATGAAAAACATTCATTCCTTTCATTTTTTAACATTTTTTGCCCTTATTTCCACATTTCTTTACCAAAAACGTCATTTTAACCATTTTTAATGTAAAATGACCAAAATACCCTAATATTTAAATATAACCCAAAAAACAAAGAAAAGAAAAATAAAGAATAAACTACAATCTTACTTCTAAATGTTTTAAAAAGTGTAAATGAGTCCAAACAATTATTAAAAAGCCTAATAGCACAAAACGTCCATACGTTTGGTTTATAGTGTGAAAAACATCCATACATTTCAAATTGGGGAGAATGATGTTTTTCATAATGAAACGTGAAAATAGGGTTGAAAACACAAGAAAATTGAAAAGTTGGGACGTTTTTCTAGAAGAAGTGTCAAACGTAAATATGTTTTTTGCTATTAAGCCTCACAAAAACATTAAAAATAGCAAAAACTCTCTCTCTCTCTCTCTCTCTCTCTCTCTCTCTCCTCCTCACTCTCTCTCTTCTCTTCTTCTTCAAATGGGCCAACCACCTTAGAAGTCAAAAGACTCCAGCAAACCACCATTCAAACTGCTGGATTATCATACCACCGAAAAGCTCTCACTTCCTTCTATACATACCACTCAACATCCAATCTTGAAACCTCATGCTAATAGATTTTTTAGGAATTGCAAGCCAAAATATCCAACTCACGAATGTAAATACTAGCAGCATCACTTATTTTGGAGAGACCCATGCTATTTCCAACACACCAATCGACTATACTCATTAGGGCGCCTCTCTTCATGGTCTTAAAATATCAACAGATGGTTCAGTGGTATGGAAGTTCGATGGTTAGTCGAAATTTTTTCATTTTCAATGCGACAGTCCCATTTAGATAAGAAGAGAAGAGAGAGATATTTTTTTTAATAATTTAATAAGGCCTAATAGCAAAAAAATCCCAACATTTGACACTTATTTGCGGAAATGTCCCAACGTTTCAATTTTTTTGCGTTTTCATCCCTATTTTCACCTTTCATTGCGAAAAACGTCCATTTACCAGTTTGAAACATAAGGACGTTTTTCACACTATAGACCAAACGTAGGGACGTTTTATACTATTAGGCTTTTTAAAAATTATTTGGATTACTTGTACTTTTTAAAACATTTAGGAGTAAGATTGTAATTTTTTTTTTTTTTTTGGGTTTTTATTTAAATGGGAGGGCATTTTAGTCATTCTACATTAAAAAAGGGTGAAAATGATGTTTTCCGCAAAGAAAGGTCGAAATAAGGGCAAAAATGTCAAAAATGTAAAAGATTGGGACGTTTTCTACAATAAACCTTAAAGGTATGAACGGTTTTTTACCAATTACCCTATATATAATGATCAAATGTAAACAAATTAAAGTTAAATGATTAAAACAAAACTTCTCTATAAGTCAAATTGTCAACCGTGAATTTATTCTTTTAATTATACGTTGAGAGGTTGAGTGGAGAGGTGCAATTTTAATTCATGGTCAAAGTAAGAGGAGACAACAAGTCATGTGAGAGCTGGTGTAGTCACATTAGCGTACAAAGAAACTTGAAGGGACGGCAAAATTTTCTTTACAAGACTCCTCACAACATTATGTCACATTTTTTGTTAGGTTAGCTAGCATCACGTGAATTTGCATGTGAAAACAACATTATTATAAAAGCAATACTTGTTTGAGTCCATTTTTAGTAAACAGTATGTTTTGAAATAATAGATTGATGAAGAATGTGCAGTGAAAAAATAAAGAAAATGTATGGGCTTGCACGTAGTATTATTTTATTAAAAAATGTGTAGT